TTGGCGCGTCTGGCTTCGTGCGGCGCGAAAGAAGTTCAAGGTGCAGGGCACACGCGAGGTCGCACTCATCGCACGCAAGGCGCCCGCCACAAATGAACCTCGACACCTCGCTGATCTCGTCAAGGAGCGTGAACCAGCATCGCGCGAACTCCGCTCATCCTCCCAGCGGCGGCTTCTGGCTCTGGCCATCGAACAAAGACGGGCACCGCATCACGCGGCGCTTTCAGATGTCGCGTTTGCGGCCGTCTGGAACGCTCTTCCTTCCAATATCAGGAAGCCGCTGGAGCAATGCACATTTGAATATTGATTGAAAAATAGTTTCTTTCGAACTGGTTTTGTGTTTAGTTTGTTGTCCTTCCCCCGCACCTCCGATTAGCGCGGTTGCTGCTGGAAAGAGCTGTCCAGCTCAGTGGGCCTTACCTGCCAAAATACAACATACCGTAGGTTAGTTTCAATTTAGTGTGCGGGATGGGGACTGGATGGGGAGCAGTTCGAGCCCGGTGCTACGAACCCGGATAAGATGGGTTTCATGCCCAGCCGTGGCTGTCATCAGCTGCTACTGGGCTTCTCCCAGGTCGACTCAGCTGTAAATGAGTACCTGGTGCGGTGTGTGTGCATAATGATAATTAGCGGCTTGCACTGAACCCGACGACCTAATGGTTAGAATTTCCGTGGCACGGCAAGCATCAGTGGAAAGTTACGTGCATCAAAACTTGACCGAGGCTTTCTTTAGATTGCCTCAGCCCTAAATGAGTGCCGAGTGTGGTGTGTAAAACATCTGCACTGTGAGGACATTAACTGGGCAGGCCTTAATAGGTTCTCGCAAAAAGCTCTTGCCCCAGCAGTTTGTGTAAGTTTAAGATGGGATCTTCGTCTTTATATGTGCACGGGGAAACGTTGCGTAGTTTATTAGCACACTGCACTGCGATCCCAACAAACATTGGTTCGATTCCGAGCCAGACACAGCATCAGTGGCAATGGTATTGGAAGGTTTCCTGGGCTGCCCTTAACCTCGTATTACTCCACCTTTTACTCAGTTTCTAGTGCTGACAATTCTAGCAAGATCGCCCGATGCTGGATGTAATTACCAGCGAAACGTCGTACAACTCCAATTGTAAATGTTGTGGATTTACTCTCCAACACACCGGTGGGCTGAAGTCGTAACCAAATGGCACGTTCTGTTTACGTGACAAACCTTACTGCTCGGCTGTGTCGGGTGGTGGCGGGGTTAACGACACATTATATTCACGCGATCTTACCCAAGAAAAAAATATTCAGAATAATTTTGGTCGCGAAAGCCCTACCTGTCAAGCTGATATTTGCACTGAGAAGACCGAGGCAGTTGACCGGGGTACTGTCCACACGATCCCCTTGAGTGCCAAGCCGTGATTAACACGTAATGAACACGTGATGAACACGTGATTAACACGTGATTAACACGTGATGAACACGTGATGAACACGTGCTCACGAACGGCCCTTGTGAGGTCGCACTAATCGCACATCAAGTGCTTGCGACAAATGATCCACGATAACTCGCCGGTGTCGTGTGGAACTCTGTCCCTTTGGACATCCGCAACATCAAAATAACTCTGGCTTTGGAGAAACAACTAAAGGCCTCCTCTATCTATTTGGCGAGGCTTTCGAGCAGCCCTGAGCTTGACTCCGCGCGCCTGAGTTGTTGACTTGTCTGTAAAATCTGGCGCGATGTAAATGTCGCGATTATTATTATAAACCACCACGCGAACTTTCGTCATCCTCGCAGCGGCTCTTGGCCAGACATCGAACTAAGGCGGTCACCGCATGGCGCGCGTTCAGATGCGCTTCTGTGGCCGTCTGGAACGCTCTTCCTTCCGATATTAGGAAGCCACTGGAGCTATGCACTTTTAAATCATCGTCGAGATTGAAAACTAATTTCTTTAGAACTGCTGTTTGTGTTGTTTGTTGTCCTTCTCCGATTAGCACGGTTGGATTGCCGTACGCTGTGAAATAGTACAACATGATTATACCTAAGATCTGTTAATTCTTAACGGTGGACATTATTATATCAATCCCTGGTCATGCACCACCACCTTTGGCAATCAGTAACTGACCTATTACAGATGTTGTCTTCCACCAATGGTTACATACCAAAAAGTAATCATGATCAATTGTTGTAAAGTACAGTAATGCATGCAAAAAAAAAACATAATCTGAGACCGGCATGGGTGTGACCTAGATTGACTCGGCCTGAAACACGAAGCTTCTGCGACGCGCGCGTGCGAGCGCTGTAGACAGCCAGGCGCTGTCCTGGCCGGGATGCCCCCCCCCCCCCTGTCCATCACAGGCACCAGGCAGGTGGCTCTCCCCAGCAGCACCGCGCGCGCACGCAAAGTCAACCAACATTGGATCACCGACAATGTCGTTCCATTGCACCTCAATAACTTCAGCGTGTCGTTTCTAGCTGCACGAGATTCTCGCTGGGTATATCTGTGTGTGTGTGCATATCTGTCAACATATGCGGTTCACCCCGTATTCTTGTACAGGGAAATTGAGTTTGCAGGTCCATACGGCGTGCAGCCGTTTCAATGCGGGTAATTTTTGTTTGTCTATTGTTTGTGTTTTTCTCTTGTGATGGGACTTTGTAGGATGAACGTTGAGATTGATTAAGGTCTGAATTGGCCTGTAATAAGGTAGGGCACTAATAAGGGGTTCACAGGGATGTCATCACAACATAAATAAGTGCACCAACCCCCAAGGAAACGCGCACCGCCTTAAAGTGAATGTGAGCTTAACACGTGGAGCTTCCGGATCGAACCCACGACCTCCTGCATACCAGGCGAGGAGTCAACATCTCCTAGCCACCGCGGCGCCATCCTGGCATCGCGATGCCAGGGAGCAGCCGACAACGATGTCAACACCACACACACCACACACACACACACCACACCCACACACCACACACCACCACACACCACACACACCACACCACACCCCCCACCCACCCCACACACACCACACACACACACCACACACACACCACACACACACACACACACCACACACACCACACCACACACCACACACACACCACACACACACCACACACACACACCACACACACCACACACCACACACCACACACACCACCCCACACCACACACACCACACACCACACACACCACACACACCACACCCACCACACACACCACACACACACCCACACACACACCACACCACACCCACACACCACACACACCACACACACAGCACCCACCACACACACATACCACACACACACCACCACACACCACCCACACACCACACACACACCACACACACACCACACACACCCACACACACCACACACACCACACACACAGCCACACACACACCCACACACACCACACACCACCACACACAGCACACACACCACACACACCACACAAACCAACACACCCCCACACACAGCACACACACCACACACACCACCACACACACCACACACCACCACACACACCACACACCCACACACCAGCACACACACCACACACAGCACACACACCACACACCACCACACACCACCCACACCACACACCACCACACACCACACACACACACCACACACCCACACACACACCACACACACCACACACACACACACACCACACACACCACACACACACACCACACACACCACCACACACACCACCACACAGCACACACACACCACACACCACACACACCACACACCCACACACACACCACCACCACCACACACCCACACACCACACCACACACACACACCACACCACCCACACACACCACACACACCACACACCACACACCACACCCACACACACACAACACACACCACACACACAACAACACACCCACCACCACACACACCACACACACACACAACACCACACAACACCACACACACCACACCACACACACCCACCACACCACACCACACACACCACACACCCACACACACACCACACACACACCACACACCACACACCACACCACACACACCACGCACACACACACACACCACACACCCACACACACACACACACCACCACACACACCACCACACACACACACCACACACACCACCACACACACCACGCACACACCACACACACACACACACACACTCCACACACACACACACACACAGACCACACACACAATCATTTCCATTGGCATCTTACCCAACACCCTTCGAAGCTCCCTCGTGCACTGATAGAGAGCGGTCCAGTGCGTGTCCA